TCAATAATGCCACAGTTCAGATTCTGGTAGATGGTGGATCAACTCACAATTTTATACAGGATCGTTTGGTGAAATTTTTGGGATTGGAAACTACACCTACCCAGAGATTTCAAGTATTGGTATGTGTAAAGAACCAATTCAACCCAAAAGTTTAAACTGTTCGGTGAGACTACATTAATGGTTTTATATATCTCTAACACGCCCCCTCATAAGAGATCCCACTGGCTTGAAGGGTGGATAATGCACAAACTCACCTATCTCTGCTAAGGAATTCCACAAGAGAAAGTGAGGGTGGTGAGTATTGAACCCGGGACACGAAGCTCTGATACCATGTAAAGAACAAATTCAACTTAAAACCTTAAGGCTTTAGGTGCGTGGGTCCTTCCACTTATATGGTGTTCACTTAGTCCATTCTTGACCAATCTGGGACTTCACCCACTCACTTGGATTCCTCCCCCTCAAGTGTGAATCGTAGGCCCACATTCTTTCCCTATCAAGTATAAGCTGTTTCTTCAAGTATTCACGGGATTCATCAATCATCAAGGCTTGGCTACACTCATCAAAACCTTTGGTCTCCCATATCTTAAAATACTCGGATCATTATAGGCTAATTAATTATTATGGAGTTTCTTAGCATATGTAGGCTGGGCCTGATGCATCTCCACCCTTCAGCCTAATGGGCTTTCATGTGAAGAGGTGTGTTATAGAAATATAAAAACCATTAATGTAGTCTCACCTAACAAATTAAGCTTTTGGGTTGAATTGGTTATTTACAGTTGGAGATAGAGAGATAATAAATTGCGTAATGGTGTGTCCGCGAGTTAATATGGAGATACAAAGACATTGCTTCTGTCTCGACCTGTATGTGTTACCAATCCAGGGGGCTTAGGTAGTTTTGGGAGTGCAAGGGCTATCTGAGTAGGGTGATGTCACAATTAACTTCAAGGAATTGATAATGAAGTTTAAAAGGATGGTTAATGTATGGAGATACAAGGGACTCCTAGTATGACTATGGAGGCCATTCAGTTGAATCAGCTTCGCAGGTTAACCTCCTCTAACTCAGTAGCTTGCTTGTACCAATTGCATGTTATAGAACATGTCATGGGGAATCAAACACAAAGGTAAGAAAACCTTGATACATGGGTGCAACAGGTGTTGAAAGATTTTGAAGGAGTCTTAAAAAAATTAACCAAATTGCCTCCAATCCGTGCTGAGGATCACCAAATTCACATTGAACCTAGAACAAAAGCCATAAATGTCAGACCATATCAATATCCACATTTTCAAAATACTGAAATAGACAAAATGGTGAAAGAGATGCTGGAATCAAAAGTGATTCGCCACAGCCCAAGTCCATTTTCATCTCTTGCCCTGCTTGTTAAGAAGAAAGATAAGAATTGGAGATTTTTTGTGGATTATAGGGATCTCAACCAAGTGACTGTAACTAACTGATTCCTCATTCCTACAGTGGATGATGATATGCTTGATGAACTAGCGGGAGCCACAATTTTCTCTAAAATGGATCTCAAGTCTGGTTACCATCAAATTCGGATGGTTGAACAAGACATTTATAAAAACAACTTTTCGCACACATGAGGGTCACGATGAGTTTGTGGTCATGCCCTTTGGTTTCACTAATGCCGCAGCAACCTTTCAAGGGATCATGAACTCTGTACTTAAGATATTCTTGCGAAAATTTATGATTGTTTTCTTTGATGACATTTTAGTGTATAACGGGACATTAAAGGATCATTTGGAGCACATGCGAGCAATATTGGGGTGTTTGCAGGTAAACAAACCCTATGCTAATCTCAAAAATTGCCCATTTGCTCAGCCTAAAGTGGAGTATGTAGGGCATGTGGTCGACGCAATAGGGGTGAGACCGGATGAGAACAAAATTAAAGCAATTATGGATTAGAAGGAGCCTGCAACAATGAAACAGTTAAAAGGGTTCATTGGATTAGCAAGGTATTACATAAAATTTGTTAGATGATTTTCATAGATAGTAGCACCTCTAACCACACTCATTTAGATGGATATTTTCAAGTGAGACTTGAAGGCAGCTCAAACAATGATCAGATTAAAAGAAGCCTTATCTAATCCTCCAATGTTAGTTTCACCAAACTTTAGTAAACCTTTCGTTCTAACCACTTATGCATCTGGAATTGGGATTGGGGCAATGCTCGACCAGGACAACCAGCCAATAACTTACTTTTGCTATAAGATATCTCCCAAAATGCAGCAAGTCTCCACCTATGTTAGGGAGCTGTTTTCCATAATAGATGAGTTGCAAAGTTTCGCCAGTACTAGTTGGTAAGGAAGTTTACTATCAGAACAAATCAGCATAGCAATAAAAGAGTTAATAGCCCAACTAATTCAAACACTTGAGGAACAACGTTTCCTGGTAAAAGTACTAGGGTTTGACTATATAGTTGAGTATCATCTTGGGAATATTAATAAGATAGCTAATGCCTTTTCCATGGTACATGAAGTTGAGAAAGACATAGAATCTGATCAGCCCGTGATAATGACTTTGTCCACACTTGTTAATCCTTTGTTAGATTCAATTAAGGCCAAGGTCAAAAGTAAATCAAAGTTGATTAGCATAACCAAAGCCATTGAAGAACAGAAAGAAGGATTTGAACACTACTCTTTCAAGGATAAATTGATTTTGTTCAAGGGGCAAATCATTATGGCAAGCACTTTGGACATAAGAACTACTATGTTACATGAATTCCACTCCAATGTGATCAGGGGGCATAGAGGTATCCACAAGACTTTGCATCATATTTCCACACATTATTACTGGCCAAATATGAAGCATGACGTTCAAGAATTTATGAGAACCTACCCTGTTTGTCAAGTCACTAAATATCAACCTCTGTCCCTTGCTGGTCTTTTACAACCTCTGGCGATTCCTAAGGTGGTGTGGGAAGATCTCTCAATGGACTTCATAGTGGGCCTACCACAATTGGAAGGAAAACTGCCATTCTGGTAATGGTGGATAGACTTTGTAAGTATGCACATTTCTCTGCCTTGGTTGGGAATTTCACGGCTTCAATGGTTGCTTCGGTGTTCCTCTCTAATATCGGTTGTCACCATGGCATCCCTCGCTATATTATTTTAGGTCGAGATTGTGTCTTCAGCAAGTTATGGCAAGAATTATCTTGGTTGAGTGGCCCCATCTCCACTTCAACATTGCAAATCACCCAGAAAGTGATGGTCAAACACAGGTCACAAATCGAGGTTTAGAATAATATATGCGATGATATACCATGGAAAATCTGCGAAGCTGGGTTCAGTATTTACCTTGGGCTAAGTTCTCTTATAACTTGCCGGTTCATTCTTCTATTAGTTCAACCCTATTCCAGATTCTCTATGGGTGTCTCCCCTCCAGTTTTGCAACTGTATGATGGTGTAGCTTCACCTATCGAGGCAGTGGATACCTTATTGACTTAGAGAGACGATATCATTAGGCATCTCTAGGACAATCTGCACCGCAAACGTCAACCATAAAGAATCAGGCTGATAAGCACCGTTGTGACGTGCAATTCGCCGTAGGTGATTAGGTGTTGGTCAAACTTCAGACCTCCTCCAAGCTTCATCGAATGTACTATAGTCCCTTTCGATCTCTGAACGTATCAGATCTGTCATGTATCATTTGACGCTTTTAGAGGGATCACGTATACACCCAATTTTTTATGTCTCCTTGCTAAAAGCTTATCGTCAAAATCTGTTTTTTTTCATCCGCAACCATTACCTCCGGTGACTTGGGAGAATCATCCGGGGACAAAACTACTGGCCATTGTGAGTTCGCACGCTGTGCCGAAAGAAAAAATTTAGGACTTGCAGGTCCTTATTTAATGGCGTGGTTTGCCCTTGGAAGATGCTTCTAAGGTGTCAATTTCTGAGTTTTTCAAGCTTTTCCCCAGTTTGATCTTGTGGGCAAGATCAAGTCCTTAAGGAAGGAGGGATCTGATACAACCCTTGAGGAAGGAAGAGGAGGAGAAGAAGGTGAAGAAGGTGGAGGAAAAAAAGAGATAGAAATGAATGAGCCTCAGGAAGAAGAAGCCCCTAGAAGAGGGACAAGAGTCAAGATGAGGGCCAAATGGACTAAAGATTACCTAATGGGAACACGTGGGACATAGGTGGCGAGAGTCCAAATATTATTCTACTTGTAGTGGGCTTGGGTTGTTATGAGCCCATTGTTGTGGTATTACTGTTTGTCTCTTTCCTTTAATTAGAGGTCGTGGTTGCTTTTGGAGGGTTGCTAAAAACTTGTATCAAATTCTTCCTTTCTTTCCCAGCATTTTCTAGAGTTGTCGGCAACCTCAAATTATCGTTGATAATCAAATATTATACAATTGCATTGATCTTTTGCATTTATTGTTCAGTAGCTATCAGATTCCTAATCAATATAAATCTTTATCATGCAAAGTTGAGTTTCCAACCGTATACAAAAACATCATTATGTGAGCCTTAGTAAGGGATCCATTCAAAGTTAAGGAGACAAATCTTAGTCCGCATAAGAGTTTCTGTTTGTGTTAGTTATGTGGGCCTTAGTAAGGGATCCATTCAAGGGTGGGCTTAATAAAAGCAGTGAAAAAGGTTATCTATAGACATGAGGATTGTCTTGTACGCAGCAAGCTGGAATACATTATTGGCACAAAGAGCTTGCCTTGTAGGCGCTTTAATTAATTAATTTTACTATTTCTTAATCATGTACTGATATATCATTTAAAAAAAAATTGTTTTTTTCAATGAATTATTGTTGCGCTGAAATGTAAAATTGTAAATTATAAAAAAAACTCACAGGAAGCGAGAATAACTTTGATATAACAAGTAAATTTACTCAAAAAAAGAAAAGAAAATTGTTCTTCAAATTAATTTAGTAGGTTTACAAGTCCAACATAACATATCAGTGCATACCACTACTTATTGTTAAGTACTTTATAACACTAGCACCAAAGGATGCATTAACATTTGATATACTTGAATGATCACTCATGAGCAAGTGCAACAACTTGTTTTCCAAAGTTGCGACAGGTGAACAGTCCAACCAGAGCTGCTGGTCCATTCTCAAGTCCTTCAACAATATCTTCAACATAGACAATTTTCTTTTCTCTAATGTAAGGCAGCACAGTCTCTAAGAGCTTTGGATAGAGATAATGTTGATCTCGATGAGTAAATCCTTTTATACTTAGTCTCTTGATTATAATATGCATCAAATTCTTTAGGGCTTCAGGCCTAGAAAGATTGTACTGTGAAATTATTCCACACATAACCATCCTGCCATAGACCTTCATATTTAGGAGCACTGCATCAAGCATTTTACCCCCAACTTGCTCAAAGTAGAAGTCAATGCCTTCAGGGAAGTACCTAATGACAGAGAATAAAAAACAATTAGTGCTTGATTATTAGGCTTAGGCATATGCGGATATGTTAAGTGCCAATAGTGGCTAATATTTCTATTCCAATTTTATATAATGTGCACTTACCTTTTCAAAGCTGCATCCAGATCAGGCTCTTCCTTGTAATTGAAAGCATCATCAAACCCAAGCTTGTTCTTAATGAGATCAACCTGGATAACCATGATGGAGTTAAGGACTCTGTTGCATCCAGAGGAAGATGGTACTAACTACTAAGAATGATCAAATTCCATGGAAAATATGATGTTTAGAAGTTGTACCTTTTCTTGACTACCAGCACTTCCAACAACATAACAACCCAATAATTTCGCAAATTGTCCAGCCAGCTGACCAACAGCACCAGATGCTGTTGAGATGAAGACACATTCTCCTTTCTTCAGAGAACCAACTTCATAGATACCATCATATGCATTAATTCCAGGCATGCCTATTGAAATAGAAAAGAAAGAACATCACAAAAACTGTCCAATACTGACTCACGTATATTTTTTAGCTTTACATTCAGAATGAGCACAACAATAATAATACATGTTTAGAAGAACTCTCCATTACCAAGAATTCCAGTGTAGTGGGAAAGGGGCACATCAGTGTGGTGAATTTTGAAGAGCTTTTCTGGATTTTGAATGAGACTATATTCTTCCCAACCAGTTGTTCCCCAAACTAAGTCACCTGCACTAAAGTCAGGATGCCCTGAATCCAAAACTTCAGCCACTCCAAACCCATTTATGGGCTGCAGGGTAACAACCAAAAGAAACAGGAAAAACAGAAATTAAATGTAAGCTAAACGTGTTAAACTCACCAAAATAGTCTCTCAAACTCAGATTGGAAAATGCAGAGGAAATAGTTAACTTTTTCTTCAAAAAACCACATTAAAAACTTCCTGGTTGTTTAGTTCCTAATACCCGTTTTTGCATATTAACAAGTTCTTCTTCTTTTCGTACATATCAGATTAATAAGTTTTTGGTCTCAAAACCTAGGCTTAGACAGACCCGTTTCCTATACTTCCACATCCAAAATGAAGAAGATATTCCAACTTACGACAACACTTACAGATCCAGGGACGTAATAGTGATATCCAGAAAGAGGATATTCCGCTTTTCTCATTTGGAAATGCATGACTGGATCACAAGAAAGGTACAGATTCTTCACCAACACCGTATATGATCCTTGAGGAACCTCAAGTTTTATAGTGCTTGTACTTATCTATAGGTCATATTCTTTAGGGTAGCCAGTAACATAGTCCCTCAATATAACCTGCTTGTTCTGCACTTCCTCTACAACATTGTTCTTTCCCGTGATGAATTACCCTTCTCGGTCTCTCTATAAAATTTTCAGGTTTTTATGCTTTCTATGATCCTAAACCACATTCGTTTTTTCTATTTACAGTTTACATGCACCCCCTCCTTCTCTTCTCTTTAATAAATAAATAAAAAGGAAAATAATTTTCCACAATATGTTGCATGTGTTATACCCATTTCTTCTTTGGCCCTAAACCCTGGATTTAGTTTGTCGTATATGCTTAGGAAAACTCGACTCATGGTGTCTCATATGGAAATGTGAGTAATGTGAAGTCGCAAGCATCGACGAAATGTTTGCCTTTGCGTATTTGTATTGTATTTGATAGCCAGCAGATTCTGCAGGTGAATATGGTCGAATAATGAATATGTGGAACTGTAATAGCTGTTTTGAATTGGTGTTTGCTAACTACAAATTAAACATAGTAATTGATGATCTTACCTTTGTCCAGATTTTAGAAGAACGTTTTCTTTTGTAGTTTGACTAATCCATCCATAGAGCACTCTAAAGTTATCAGCTTCCTCTACAGTTAAACCATATTGCTGTAGAGTGTAGGAGAGGAGAACTTTTTTTTGTATCCCGAAGAACAATAATAATAGTAATAATAATAATAATTTTTTAACAACTACTAAATTAATTAGCGAATTTTCTTAGCAATCCACTTATTTTATTTTTATAAATTGCAACACTAAACGATAAGTTTGCATAAGTGGATGACATGTGGAAAGTCATATACCACTGCACCACTTCCGTAGTTTCTTTGTTTGGAGATTATTAGTGCATCTGCTGTTCAACAATAATATTTGGATAAAAAAAATATTTTTCCTTATTTTCATACCACCATAACAGTTATTTCTTAATTTCTATTGGTTATATACACTAAATGAAAGAAAAATATACTCTTATGTTGTAGGAGAGAATTTTTCTCTCTTATACATACATCGATTTCCGTGTTACTTTTTTATTTTTTTTTTCTTTTTCTATTGTGAGTGGATCTCACACATAATTATCTCTATTACATAAGAAAGTGCTCTCCTGTTGCATGAGATTAATAAAGCCCCTAAATGAATGATACAGTATCATAAATATTTCCCTTGATTTGTATTTTGGATGGTCAAAAAGCCTTGGAGCTCATTTTTTGTGATCCAGAAGCTTGTGCTCCCTTTCCAGAAATAAAAAAAAAACGGATTAGGAGAGAATTTAAAAATAAAAAATAGCAATATAAATAAAAGAAAATATTTTTTTTCTTAGTTAAGGACCACCAAATAAGATTGTGGTCAGCGGACATATTAAAAAAATCCCTTAACTTCAGCACCTTCAAAATAGTATTATATTCTTTTAATTTTTTTAAATAAGAAAGTGTTGAATATAATTAAATATATTTATTATTTTTATAACATAAAAAATATTTAATACTTTCTTTATTTAATAATTAAAAGTATTCCAACATGTATTTTAAAAATATATTTAAAGTGTTTCATTAAATTTAATTAAAAAATTTATTAAATTAATTTGCTTTTAGAAAATTAGTTATATATAATTAAACTAATAATTTTCTCTTTAATTTATTAAATATAGAAAAATACATATCAAGATATAAAAAATATTTTTTTATTTTTTAAAATAATAGATTAATTAAATCTTCAAAATGATAAGTTATTTAAAACTAATTTAATATTAAAAAAATTGTGAAGAGGATTTAAAGTTATTCGTATTCTGAGTTGCTTCACGTTCTTTCATAAAGAATCATAAACATATTAACCTGTGGCAGTGAGTAATCTCTAGCTGAGTGAGTGTTTCATATAAGTTGCTTTAATTAAATAGGAAATCGAAGATGAGTACAATGTTGTTAAAGTAGGAGTAATGCTATATAGTAGTAAGTAATATTAATATGAGTTTTCATAGAAGTTTGGCTAGAATTAAAGATAATTATTATATAAAATAATCATATAAAGAGTACCCATCTACGGAAAAAAAAAAAAATTTGTTGCTCTTCAACATTTTTCTTGGCACAATACACGAAGACAAATCAGAATCATAAATTTGCACCAATTGCTCTTAATGTGTTCATAACTAAAACATCACAAGCATATAAACTCCAATCCCAAACCACACGAAAATGGTGATGGATTGAGTAGTTTAGCGTGTCACCATGCTTAGTGGTCAGGGAACAGGCGTTGTCTCTATTACACATAAAGTAAATGCTAAGCAGGCAACTTTTCTGCGTTTGTTCTTGCTTAAGACAAAAATGTGACAACACATTTTAATTTATTAAATGCGAAATTTAACTGAATAATTTTTGTTTCATTTTTTTATTTTGGATAATTTTGGCTAGCTATACTTTTATTTCTTAACTATCATTTTAATTATTATTTTTTACCAAAAGTGACTTATTTTTTTTCTTCTACTATTTTTATAATTATTTTTTAATATTATAATTAAAATCATTAATTCATAATTAAATTCATAACTACAAGTGATTATTGTCAAAAACAAAATAAATTCATCTGAGCCACTGGCTAGGACAGGACTTATTTTTGTGAGCTCATCAAGCTTTGAAGTATTTCCATTAACACCCACACCTGGTCCCACTGGGTGCTCTGGTGATGTTGACTCTGCCTATATAGCATTTTGTGATATCACAATACCTATTTGTTCTAATTCCCAACTAGATGTGTTAACAGGAATAGCACAGGTGGCTTTGATCCATACCCCTACAAAGGCAGGTTCAAATTCCACTGGTTGATGTAAAGAATTTGTTGGTGTATGATATATAATCTTTTTCGAAAATTTTCAAAAAGATTAGAGGGTCTTCCTTAACTCTAATAGGATATCAATGTCTAACTCAATTTAAACTTTTCTTTTTTTAAAAAAAAAAAGAAGAAGAAGAGGAGGAGCCTATGTCAATATATCTCAACTAAAAAATATTAATTGAATTTATGGATTCCTAATCAATATAAATCTTTATCATTCAGAGTTGAATTTCCAGCCATAAACAAAAAGCACTATGGAGACAAATCTTAGTCGGCATAAGAGTTTATGTTTGTGTTAGTTATATAGGCCTTAGCAAGGGATTAAGGGTGGGCTTAATAAAAGCAGTGAAAAAGGTTATCAAGTTACACGATGATTTTCTTGTACGCAACAAGCTGGAATACATAATTGGTACAAAGACTTGTCTTGTAATCCAGAATCTGTTTAATTCTTCCACGCTATTAAATTCGAAGTTCATTTCATTCTCTGGTAACCACTAACCATCACCAAAGAATTCCCTGTTGTTATTCTTGGTATATAAAATTGAGAGCAGCTTTAATTAATTATTTTACTATATATTAATCATGTATTGATGCATCATTAAAAGAAATTATTTTTTCAATGAATTATTATTTCGCTGAAATGTAAAATTATAAAACAAACTCACAGTCACAGGGAGCGAGAATATAGTATAGGTTTACAAGTCCAACATAACATATTAGTGCACACCTCTACTTATTGTTAAGTACTTCCGAACACTAGCACCAAAGGATGCATTAACATTTGATAGTTGAATGATCACTCATGAGCAAGTGCAACTACTTGTTTTCCAAAGTAGTTGCGACCGATGAAGAGTCCAACCAGAGCTGCTGGTCCATTCTCAAGTCCTTCAACAATGTCTTCAACATAGACAACTTTCTTTTCTCTAATGTAAGGCAGCACAGTCTCCAAGAGCTTTGGATAGAGATGATGATGATCTCGATGAGTAAATCCTTTTATAGTTAGTCTCTTGATCATAATATGCATCACATTCTTTAGGGTTTCAGGCTGAGAAAGATTGTACTGTGAAATCATTCCACACATAACCATCCTGCCATGGACCTTCATATTTAGGAGCACTGCATCAAGCATTTTACCCCCAACATGCTCAAAGTAGAAGTCAAGGCCTTCAGGGAAGTACCTAATGACAGAGAATAAAACAAACAATTAGTGCTTGATTATTAGGCTTAGGCATATACCGATATGTTAAGTGCCAATAGTGGCTAATATTTCTAATCCCATGTTATATAATGTGCACTTACCTTTTCAAAGCTGCATCCAGATCAGGCTCTTCCTTGTAATTAAAAGCATCATCAAACCCAAGCTTGTTCTTTATAAGATCAACCTGGATAAGCATGATGGAGTTAAGGACTCTGATGCATCCAGAGGAAGATGGTACTAACTACTAAGAATGACCAAATTCCATGGAAAATGTAATGTTTACAAGTTGTACCTTTTCTTGAGTACCTGCACTTCCAACAACATAACAACCTAGCAATTTTGCAAATTGTCCAGCCAGCTGACCAACAGCACCAGATGCTGCTGAGATGAAGACACATTCTCCTTTCTTCAGAGAACCAACTTCATAGATACCAGCATATGCAGTAATTGCAAGCATGCCTATTGAAATAGAAAAGAAAGAACATCACAAAAACTGTCCAAAACTGACTCTCATAGTATATTTTTTAGCTTTACATTCAGAATGAGCACAACAATACTAATACATCTTTAGAAGAACTCTCCATTACCAAGAATTCCAGTGTAGTAGGAAAGGGGCACATCAGTGTGGTGAATTTTGAAGAGCTTTTCTGGATTTTGAATGAGACTATATTCTTCCCAACCAGTTGTTCCCCAAACTAAGTCACCTGCACTAAAGTCAGGATGCCCTGAATCCAAAACTTTAGCCACTCCAAACCCATTTATGGTCTGCAAGGTAACAACCAAAAGAAACATGAAACAAAAAAAAAATTCAATGTAAGCTAACCGTTTTAGCAACACCAAAATAGTCTCTCAAACTCAAACTGGAAAATGCAGAGGAAATAGTTAACTTTCTCTTAAAAAAATCACATTAAAAAGTATAAACTTCCTGGTTATTTAGTTCAAATACCCGTTTTTGCATATTAAGTTCTTCTTTTTTTGGTACATATCAGATTAATAAGTTTTCGGTCTCAAAACCTAGGCTTAGAATGACCCGTTTCCTATAAAGGACTCTACTCTCTACTTCCACATCCAAAATGAAGCAGATATTCCAATTTATGACAATACTTACAGAGCCAGGGACGTAATAGTGATATCCAGAAAGAGGATATTCCGTTTTTCTCATTTGGAAATGCATGACTGGATCACAAGAAAGGTACAGATTCTTCACCAACACCGTATGTAATCCTTGAGGAACCTCAAGTTTTATAGTGCTTGTACTTATGTATAGGTCAGATTCTTTAGGGTAGCCAGTAACATAGTCCCTCAATATAACCTGCTTGTTCTGCACTTCCTCTACAGCATTGTTCTTTCCCATGATGAATTACCCTTCTCGATCGGTCTCTCTATAAAACTTTCAGGTTTTTATGCTTTCTATGATCCTAAACCACATTCGGTCTTTCTATTTATAGTTTACATGTACCCCCTCCTCCTCTTCTCTTTAATAAATAAATAAAAAAAGGAAAATAATATTCCACAATATGTTGCATGTGTTATATTCATTTCTTCTTTGGCCTTAAACCCTGGATTTAGTTTGTCGTATATGCTAAGGAAAACTCGATTAATCATGGGGTCTCATTTGGAAATGTGAGTGTAATGTGAAGTCGCAAGCAGTGACGAAATGTTTGCCTTTACGTATTTGTGTTGTATATGATAGCCATCAGATTCAGCGGGTGAATGGTCGAATAATGAATATGTGGAACTGTGATAGCTGTTTTGACTTGACTGGATGATATTACCTTTGTCTAGATTTTAGATGAACGTTTTTGTTTTGTAGTTTGATTAATCCATCCATAGAGCACTTTAAAGTTATCAGTAATAGTATCCTCTACAATTAAACCATGGACGCAATCAGAAAAAATAGAGAAAAAAACACATTTACATGTAGGTATTATAGTTTTAAAAGTATGTGTCTCGTGTCGGCGTGTTATTGGGAAGAGATTGGAATATGCAATTAAGAAATGTTTTTTTTTGGAAACTAAGAAATGGCTTTTGCTAACAAGTTACTTCATATTCATATTTACTCCAACCATTTAAACGTATTTGTTGTGTATTTGTTGTTTCCAGTGGCGGACGCAATAATTTTAATGACATGAGATGAAAATAAAAAATATTATATTATAAACAAAAATATTTGAAATATAATACAGATTTAATATAAAAAAATTAAAAATAATCTATTACAAAGATTAAGATCATCTCATTTAACTCTTATTTTACGTATTTTCTTATTATTAAACTCATATATAATTGAATCCGTGTTAAAACTCAAAACAATTTCTTTTTTAATGTATGTAATCAAAGAATCATCAAGAAATTGATCTTCTATTTTATTTCGAAGCTTGTTCTTAATTTTATTTTACGCATGCGGATCTTGACTTTTTTCTTTCTTTTTAAATGTCAGAATCCACATGTGTAAATATGTTTGCTACAAAAAATTTCATATGCTATTGCTGCAGAAGAGGCGAACCCATAAATAAATCATGGTATCCATTATCAATAAATTAGATACCCACAAAGTTATATATGTCCTTTCATTCTTTTTATAGCTAAAATTGTTGAAAATTTAAAGAGATTAAGAATAATTTAGAAGAACACACTATAATTTTTTAATCTCACAATCACGTGTTTGATAGGAGGTGAAAAAAAAATTTCCTAAAAAAATGGGGTTGAAAAATTATTTGCCTATAATTGATAGGAGGTGAAGTAAAAATATGGCTAGGAATTTTTTCCCATCATTTACTTTTTTATGTAAAATAGTTAGGGAAGATTACTATTGAAATGGTAGAATTGTTTTTTTTCCATGTGGTGAAAAAATTAACTCAACATTTCTGGAAAAAATTTGGCCTACCAAACACCTTTTAGTAGCTTACCCAGAAAAACTTTATCCTCTACCAAACTCCTCCTTTAACTGCTACGGCACTCTTTTTCTCTGTTTTCACTATTTTTTGTTTTCTTCTTCACACTCTTGTTTTTCCTTTTTTGAAACACATAACCTATATATTGGCAAATAAACTACCGAATCAAGCCCCCCCACTTTTTAATATTTTAATCCTAGAAATATTTAACTTCTCTGTCTTCTTCATAACCAAAATCGTCCTTGACTTTTCAAACTAGTACAATTAGGATAAGCTGAATGAAAAATGAAAATGCAAAAGCTGAATCTTTTTCTTAAATTTTACCTCAAAAGAATGTAAGAGAGGTTGAGGCGGGTTATTAACTATCACTGAAAATTGAAGAGTGAAGAAGTACTTGAGGAGTGTTTCAAGATTGAGTCCCACGCCCCCCTTCAATGAAAATGCTTGTGCTTCCTCTTCAATTGTCTTCTCTTGCAATTGCAGGCTGAACAATTTTCAGAAGTTTGATTTGAGCCGTTGATGTTTTGTGCTTCCTCTCCACCCTCACGCATGTGCGTAATTTACCCATCACACACATTTTGTAATATTATTAAAATATCATTTATATATATAATTTTTTCCCATCAAATTTTAGGAGGGCAGGGGGCCACCCTAACCCCCCTTTAGTTCCGCCTCTGGTTGTTTACTACACCCACTAAAAAATTATATTTGTAGTTTGCCTTTTAAAATAAACACTTTATTCAGAGAATCATGATATTCAATACGTTTTTAATTTTATTTTTTAATCTGAATTTAGAGTTTAATTTTAATTAATTGTTGATGTAGTTTTTTTATTGTTATTTAAACGTAATAGAATTTTATATTATTAACTATTAACTATCAAATATATAAAAATTTATGCATATAATAACTTTATATTAAGTATTAAAATTACTTGATAACAATTATAATTATTAAACCATCATTTGTGAAAAAAATCACTTCAAAAATAAGTTTTTTATGTTAAGGTACTTTGAATATATTAATTTTAGTTGATAGTTAAGTTTTAAGATAATTTTATAAAATAATCATACATGATCTGAGTTTATTTATACTTTTCTTAAAAATTACTTAAAACTTAAAAAAAGGATTTTTTTTTTAATTTTTTTTTACCCTGCTATACAAAATTTAGGTCAAAATAAAAAAATTTGAATTTTATTTTTCATATAAAAATAAATGATAATTAATCAAATGAGAAAGGACAAATTAAGGTGAATATTTATATACAAGTCATCGCACAAACTATATTTATGAATTCCTAAAGTTTACAAAAAAAAATAAAAATAACTGCAGCATTGAAAATTGGACAATAATAATAATAATAATTCTTTAATAACTCGCTAAAATAATTAGCGAATTTATCTTTGGCTGTGCAACAATGTGACAACTGGCAACTGGCAACCCCTTTATTTTTATTTTATTTAAAATAAATTGCAAGACTAAACGACAAGTCTGCATAAGTTGATGACATGTGGAAAGTGATATACCACTTAGCCACTTCAGTAATTTCATTTCCACTTTTTCAATTCGTGCTAAAAAATTTAAAAATTGTAATTTAAATAATAAATTACATAATTAATATTAATTTTAAATATTATAGGCAATTAATGTAATCAGTCACACATCAATATGAATATAACTACCATGTGACAAGAGGTGAATAATGTGCAAATTGATACTTAAATCATAATTAGTTCTCCATCATGGACACAACTAGGAGTGAAATTGGATCGGGCGGGCCTACAGAAGTCTACAACTCGGTTTATATCAGACCAAATTTGACCTAGTATATTTCGTAAGATAAGATGGGTTTGGGCTTTGAAAAAGCTTGTTTAATAAATAGGCCGTAGGTCGACTTTCACAAAGCCTGACCTATAAGCCTACAGGCCGGCCTATATTGTACTATTTGTTTTAAATAAAATAAAATAGAATAAGTATGCTTTGAAAAAAAAATAAAAGATATAAATTTAATCAATTGTAATTATTTATAACTCACTTATATTGGATTATATTTTAATAGAAATCTGACTTCATTTTTTATGCAGGAGGAACCAATATCTTAACATGTTAGATTGTGTATATGAATATATTAAAAGGTTTTTGTGAGAGGTTATACTTACTACAAGCATCATGATGTGTTTGTTGGATTCATGTAGTTATTTTAATTTACATAGTATGAATTTGCTTGTTGGAACTGATGAAATATATGTCATTTAGCTTGAACATTTTGCTTTTACAAGTGACTTAAATGCAGATTATGATGAATTTTGTTGTGATTCATGGTTCTGTTTGGACGTTGAAATCATGATTTTTGGTTTAGCAACAAAAATTGAGTATTTTGTAAAGTTGATTTATGGTTCTGCTTGGAAGTTAAAAATTAACAGGCTAATGGGCTAGGCCAGGTCATTTTATTTTTTTATAAACGGGCCAAGTCAGGCTAACAGTTAGACTCGTACTAGGCTTGGACCAGGCTAAATTAAATTTTTTTGACATAAGCTTAGACTTTTCATGGCAAAGCTTAGCCTAGCTCAGCCCACTTTCATCCCTACACACAACTCATAAGAGCTTGTCACGTGATAATAAAGTCACCCTTATATTACACAGATGACAACCATTAGTCTCGTGTCAATTTTTGGTAAGTTGCACATTAATTTGAGCACAACTCATCCGAGTTTCACGTTGTGCTAATTATTTATCAGTTTGGGCGTGTCTAATTACATTAGTTGCGTAAAATATTTGGCAATAACATTAATTTTTTACTTTATTATTTAAATTGTAATTTTTTTACCTTCCAATTCGTAAAAAAAAAACAAAATCTGATTTGCGCTTGGGTAGTAAAAAGGCCTTAATTTGAGCAGCTTCAAAACAGTGCTATATTCTCTTAATTTTTTTAATAAATTTTAAAATTTAATTAAGAAAGTTTTGAAAAAATTTAAATATTTTTAAAACACAAAAAGATTTAATTTAATTTAATATATGTAATTTTAAAAAATCACTTATATTTAATTAAATTATTTGTTTCATTTTTTTATGTTGCTGGAAAAAAAATTATTTCCTGCAAAAAAAAAGACAATACTATGTACTAAGGTAATACATAGTTACAATGGTAAAATTATTTTTTTCTCCGCCATGTCAACCGACAATATCTGAAGAGAGAAAAAAAATAATTTTAATATTATAACTATTTACCTCCTTAGTACATTTTTTTTTTGCATGAGAGATTTTCTTTTCCAGCAACATCAGAATGATTTCCGTTAAATTATTCTCTATAATGCAACACTCAAAATATTATTAATTTATTAAAAAAAATATCAAGTTAGAAAAATAATTTTTTATGGAAACTAATCCGTTTACAAATTTTTTCAAATTACACTATATACTCCTAAAAGTACATAGTGTAACCTAGTGTACTTTCGGGAGT